GGGTGCCTGGATCCCTTCCCCCTCCAGGGCCCTGCGGGGAACGCGGCTCTCTCCACTCTCCCGGCTGCGCTGGCCAGGCGGCTAAGTATGGGGAGCTCTCGGGGCTTAGGCATGGATGTCATTAGCCGCCGACTCGTAAGAATGAAGTGCTATCACAGAAGAGCTGCAATAAGATCCACATGTTCCAGGTAAACCTGCTGAAACTGCGTCAAGTGGGAAACCAGCAATATTTAATCCATACCCCCCTGCTGTGAAACCCCTGTGCACAATGCACTTCCTCAGCACAAGGAATGTTGATTGTTTCTGAGGCTGAAACGCTCCTTTTTTTCCTCCTCCTTCCTATATATTCAGCCCATCTTGATGTCATCTGTGACTCTCTTCTCAGATTCTCCTGTTTAATCTTTATTCTTCTCTTTCTCCTTCCTCCATTCATGCCCTACAGGATCATAATCTAGCCAGGCTGCTTCCTTGCCTTCAGAAGGGAATAAGTAGCTTTCTTTGATTCTGGTGTTGCACCAGGTGGAGGAGACCTGGATTAAATCAGGATCCAAAGGGATAATCCTGACCACTGCCTTTTCTGTGCTGTCAAATGAGTCTGCTAGGTGCAGGCAGATGGAAGAGTTTCTGCAGAGGCTGAGAACACGAGGCTAAATGACTCGATAGGTCTTTCCCAACCAGTTCATGAGACTCTGCAACAGTCCTACTATGTGAGGACAATCCTTGCAGTGTCCTTTTTCAGTCACTGCTGGAGATGTGAAGTTAAAATAAGGGCTGGATTCACAAATGGATTTAGTTGCTTAAATGCTGTCTTCCTACCACTGCAGGCACTTAAGTCTAAAATTAAGGTCCAGGTTTGGAAAGTGCCTGCAGGCATAAGTGGGTGGTCAGACCCTAGGGGTTGGGACCTGCTGTTTCAGTGGTATAGACAAGCCCTCTGTGTAGCCCTGAATTCTTCTGCGGATCAGGTCCTACATGTTTAACATTCACAAAACATAAAAACAGAGACATCCATTTTCATTTGCTGGTGATGCATTAATTGTTGCTGCACACTGTAGCTGTTTGCACCACGGTTTGATTGCGAGGGCTAATGCACAGGATGAGGTTTTCATTTCATGGGATGACTTGACTGCTCAGGTGATTGATAATGGAATACTAATCCTTTCCCTTCTGGTCCAGTTCAGTTCCAGCCAGCTGAGAGCAAATGAAAATTACCATGTGGTCATTATTCAGTGACAGTTGTGGATTAGGTATGGCAATTCCTCTAGTTTTGTTTTGTTTTTTTTCATTTAGTTGTGTGAAGCTCAGATGCCTAGGTTTGGAGTTGAGAAGGAATTGATTGGTGAGAATTTGTCTTTCTTTGCAACCTAGGACACAGATCTCATACAAAGAGCTTCGGGATATATTATGACTCCAAAGGCCCCTGTAATGGCAAGGAATTGATTAGTTGTGATATGTTTGTATCTCATTCTCTACCAGTCACACCCAATACTGAAGTCCCCTCAGCACTAAAATGCTTTAACTATTTTGGGCTCGACACAGGAATATGTTGATGAAATGAAATGGTCTGTAATCTAGAGGAAGTCAAGTATATAGTCTAATGGTCCTCTGTGTGCCTAAGCTCTGTGAAGATTTTGTTTCAGAAGGGCAGACGTATTATCAACCTGATTGAAAGCCCGCTGAAGTCAACATGAAGATTCCTGTCACCTCTGGAATTTGGACTGGACTCTGAAGTCCGCAGATAAAAGAGCACTGGTGGTGTCACTGGAGCAGAGCTGAATGAATCACATTGTTGGCAGACTTGATAGTTGCAAGTGATCAGAATTTCCATTAATTTTATCTCTGAGACTAATTTATCTGTAGTTTTAAGTAATTTATGTGTTCCACTAATTTATTGTCTGGCTAGTCAGTTTGCTGCAGGTGTAATTGTCTCCATTCAAACAGAAAGGACAGTAGCAATTCCCACTTACACCTTCAAAATACAACTGGAGCTGGATTGTGGTTGTCCCCATGGAAGGGGGACATTTGCCCAGTTAGAGCTGGGTTGCTTTGCTGGATAGAACTGACCTTTGGACAGCCAGGAGGAAGAACGGACCCGTATTTCTAACAGATGACAAACCATTGGAGCAAACTGCCAGGGCTTCTCTTGACATTCTCCACTAGAGCCTGGATTCCTTTCTGGAAAGCTCCAGCCAAACACAAGTTCTCTGCAGTGGTGAGCTTTTGAAATGTAATCGTCTGTGATATACAGGAGGTCAGACTAGATGATCTAATGGCTTTCTCTGGCCTTAAACTCTGTGAATCCATAAAGCACGTCTTGCTGTAGCAGCTCGGTTCTATTTTATAAATGTTAATGAGTAATTACATTAGATTGTCCACAATCATTGACGTTAATCACTGTCCTTTTGCCAGGAATAATAAAAACAGGAATTGAATAGTTTAAACCATATGAGAGCATCTCTCCAAAGGACTTGCTCTGGGGCTCCTATGGGAGCTGGGGGTTGGAAGGCTGTCAAGTGGAGGTAGTGCCAGATGCTGGGCCTTCACATGGGAACACTAGACTGCTTTTTGTGGTGTGATTTGTGAGGGTGAGAGCCTGCTAGGGGAGATTAGATCAAATCAACCATCTACTGTATTTAGGCTGTAAGGGAATACAAGTCACTCTGGGCCTGATCAAAGGTCCATTGAAACTAAGGAGAAGATATCCATTAACTTCAGTGAGAGTTGCATAAAACTTGGAGATAAGAATGTCATCCCCTAGTTCAACAACTTTCCTCCATGATCCCACTCCTTGCTGGTAGCTATCCTGTTCCATCTACTTTAACCTGAAAGTCTCAGTCTCTCTCAACCTGTGCAGAACCTTATGGATGATCTCATACATGTACTGATGATGTAGCATTGGCATGCAACATGCATCTTTTGAAAGGGTGGATGAAAACTTTGTAGGTCAGGAGGCATCCAGGCAAAAACACTGCTTTGGACAGCGCTGAAATTTGGTGTAGTCTGACTGGTTTAAAAAATGTAATATCTTACTCTTTGCAATGGTGTGTATGAGGTCCTTCTTGCCAAAGGTAAAATCAGGAGGCAGGGAGGGAGAGGTTCACTATTGGTTCAACCCAATGATGTGTAATGCACTGTAATGTTGAACATCATGTACTGTAATGTTGTAATATGAACTGCAATGCCTAGAAGCCTCCAGGAGACTGGAGGAATGAACTGCAAGAAGCACAACAACTCCCAAGGAGCAGCGTGGGAGCATGGGTTGGCATGGGAGAGAGGGAGACGTGTGGCCAGAGAGTCAGAAGGAGTGGCGGAGCTAGGACTGCAACCTGCAGCAGCAGGGCTCAGATGTGGAGCACTGGCAGATGGCAATTAAGTGTTTTATGGGACCAGAGGCTGGTTTGGAGCTCCCTGGAGTTGTGGGAAGGTTCGGTGTTAGTGTTTTCTACCAGTTACCTGTTCTTGGGTGATTTCATCAAAGTGTCATTGTATACTTCCTATTACCCAGATCCTATGTGTATGTACCTCAGTGTTAATGTTTATTTAGCTGTCTGCCCCTCTCTCCTTAGCCTGTTGGCTTGTGAGCCTAATCCCCAGCATTCCCTATAAGGAAAGTGGGAACTTCCCTTGCTGACTTCCTGTGCCAGTTCTTGGGGTTGTGGGGTTTGGTACAGATGTCTTTAGTTTGGCAGCAGAATTTCAGCAGGTATGCCAAGGACAAGAATCCTCTCCAGCCTCTCACAATAAGGGATGTTGACTCTGAACCTTTTCAATGAAAAAATCTTTTTTATATTCCATGAAAACCTCTAGCAGCACCTGCTTTTGGTAAGTGTCCCAGAATCAAGGATTATAATTAGGAGCAGTGGAGCTGAGTACCCTGCCCCTTCTCTGCTTAAACCAGAGGCAGAGTTCCTCTGCCTGGCGTGGTAATCAGCATTTCCTCACTGCTCCCAGTCTTTGTTGGAGGGCTCAGGACAGCCTCCATTTTTTAATTTACTTTAGTTTGCCATGGCTCAGAACATACCAGTTCATGGGGCTGAATATCTCATGTAATCCAACCAAGGAGGACGAGAGCATCTAGACAGATTTGTTGTTGCTTTGAAAATATTAGTTAAAATTGATTTTTTTGTGCTAAATGTCCTTCCCTGGCATGGCGAATGATGCATCCAACCCTGAAGCCTAAGATTTAGCTCCATTTTCAAAGCACGCTTTTACTAGGACTCCTGCTCTGGCTGATTCTTTCTGGAAGACAGAGAAGAGGAAGAGTAGCTGTATGCACCAGCAGGCTCCTGTTAGCATTATGGGTCCATTGTTCAAGCCAAGTCATTTGTGGCAGGGGAAAACTCAGTGAAACACTAGCCCAAGGAGGTGTGTGAGCATCTTCTCCTGGGACTTCTCTTTAGAAATACTCGTTATTTGCTCCCTCAGAAGATGAGAAGCCTGCTTCTTAAAAGCATCTGCTTCAGTGAAGTCATTCTGTCAACACCCAAAGATGGGGATGAAACATCGGAGTTCAGGCCATTTTCCCAGCCATAGGGACAGGATTCATAAAGAGGCTGACTTTAGCCAGGAAAAATTCAGGGCAAGTGAAACTGGATGGTTATAGATTTATACAATGAAAGAAAAAAGAATTGAGAGAGGGAGCAAAAGAAAAATCTAATTTCCCTTAATTAAGTTTCCTTCATTCTTTGGACGAAGAACTGATTCAAGTGAGGGGCCAGAATGTGAACTTACAAGTGCATGCGTTTTTCTTCTTGGGCTGAGGCCGATATAAGGCATGGCATGTGAACAATCATAGCAAACAGGAAATAGGAGACCTCCTTTTCTGCTTTAATTCGGGGCTGTTCTAAGGGGCCGGGAGCCTACACGGCGTGTGGGTCACACTAGTGCAAGCCATGGGCTCCCAGGCCATGCCCTCCAGTTCTGCATTGGGCATGTGAGCAGCTCCCTGCCCCCTAACACATCCCTGCACTTCTGTCCTTGGCACTGTGGGCTGTGCCACTCTGCCCCCTGGGGTGGGAGCAGGAAGTGAAAGCTGAGACAGGGTTGGGGAGCCTAGACCCTGGCTGTTGCACTAGCTGGAGTGAAAGGGGGGAAAAGCGGGGGGGGGGGGGGGGGAGGGAGGATGTACATTAACTCCTTGCGAGTTGGACAGCCCTGATTTAAATTAATCCATGTTTAAGGATTGGTACTACATCATAGGCATTTTAACTGTATATATGTCATCATGAGTAGGAGTAAGCAATAGGCAGAAGCTGTGATTCTATGCGTCAACCCAGGGCCCAACCTAGATCTAACCAAGAGCTCTTGGAGGTGCAGGAAACTGTTCCAAGCACAAGGTAAATCCATACATGAGCTCACTGGGACCAGCTATGTATTACTTATTGTTTTCTAATTCTGTTGGCTGCACTCCTCAGCCCGGGAGTGTAGGAGGGCTATTAGGAAGGCCAAGGCAGAGATGGAACAGAGGCTAATGTCCAGGACTAAGGACAACAAAAAGTCCTTTTTCAAGTACACTGGGAGCAAGAAGAGGGCACCAGGCAATGTAGGGCCCCTGCAAGACACAAACGGTAATCTGGTGGCCATGCCAGACAACAAAGCTATTTTTAACAGTTTCTTTGCCTCTGTTTTCCTGAACAGGGACCGGGATATCCCACCTACCAGAGGTAGGGACAATCTTGGGGATAACTCTATCAAGCCTTCAGCCAGTGCAGATGTAGTTCGGGATCTTCTGGAAGGGCTAGACACTTTTAAATCTGTAGGTCCAGATGCCCTCCACCCAAGGGTGCTGAGGGAGTTGGCAGGGGTCATCGCGAAGCCTTTGGCCCGGCTGTATGAGCATTTGTGGTCATCTGGCCAGGTGCCGGAGGATTGGAAACTGGCTAATGTGGTCCCTATTTTTAAGAAGGGGAAGAAGGAGGACCAAAGTAATTATAGGCCTGTAAGCCTCACCTCGGTGCTCGGGAAGATCTTGGAGAGAGTCATCAAGGAGCATATCTGTGGGGGGCCTGCAGGGGAGATCATGCTCAGGGGCAATCAGGTTCATGCTCAGGGGCTTTGGGTTCACCAAAGGCAGGTCCTGCCAGACCAAGCTGATTGCCTTTTACGACCAAGTAACTAAATCCTTGGATGATGGTGTCGCTGTGGACATAGTCTTTCTAGACTTTAAGAAGGTCTTTGACACTGTCTCTCACCCCATCTTCATCAATAAATTAAGTGACTGCGGCATTGATGCCTGTACAGTTGGATGGGTAAAAAATTGGCTGATGGGGTGCACCCAAAGAGTAGTGGTGGACGGGTTGTACTCAACCTGGTGAGATGTGAGCAGTGGGGTACCCCAGGGCTTGGTCCTCGGGCCCGCACTGTTTAACATCTTCATCAGAGACTTGGACGAGGGGGTGGAAAGCACGCTGTCTGACACTAAGATGTGGGGCGAGGTGGACACACTTGAAGGGAGAGAGAGGCTGCAA